CTATCTGATACCTTCTGTTAAGATTAAGATCCTTAGCAGACAAAGGCAATTTAGGCAAGGAGAAAAAAAATAACCAAATGTGTTTACTGAAACAAGATTAATAAAGAGCTAACTTTACCCAGGACTATCATAAGGTAATTTAAAACAATACATTACAAAAGGAGCCTTTGGTGGCTGTAGGCATCTTTCTGGAATCTTTGACAGTCTCTTTTGCTTCTGGTGAAAAGCAATGGTTATAAAGTGCCTTCATCTTCTTTCCTGTGAAGCTTAGGCTGACCAAAAGCTTCTGTTATCCTTTGGATTTGTAGTATAAAAATATTGCTAAATGCAGCAATAGGAGAAGATGCTAAGAACGCCTGTTTGGATTGCTAGGTCTAGGATTCCAGACAATATCCAAGCCTCTATGGCTCTACTACAGAATAAAGGAGGAGTCCAGCAAAAGGCTCTGTGCAGGGAAATGGAATAGACCAACTGAGACTAGCCTCTGGGGGGTGCTTTAAGCTCCACCCAAAAAACTAATACAAAGGCAAGTCTACACTATTGGGAAGGCCTATAAACGGGAAACTTCAGCAGAGGAGAGGAGAAGGCAGAACTAAGACTTCACACTATGTACGCATCGAATCCTTCGGGAGATGCTAGCGGGGTACAAATAAAGTTATAATAATACTGTTGCTAACAGATTTGTGTAAATGGGTGCATTCTGAAACCTTTTCCTGTTGCCATTTTTTGTGACCCCAACATCAAACTAAGGGGACCCTATTTGGGGTTGGGACCTACAGTTTACGAAACAGTGCTCTGTAGCTACAATTAAGAATATAATAATTTGAATCCTGTAGTTTAGTCCCAGCTAGAATAGACTCACTGAAGACATGGGCCCATAGGTATATCCCAGGATCTGAATCCAGATTATCTGCTTTAAACTGGATTATATGAGTCTCCACTGCCAAATCATCTGGGATAAGAAGATAATCTGGGATCAGATCCTGGAATATAGGACAAGTGTGGAAGGGGCCATAGATTCAATAGGCTTTCTTTAATTGGGATGAACAACATAACTGAAGTCAGAAGTAACGTAAATAAGTTTGCTACCTTTTCATATCACCCAGAATTGAGTGCATAAGGTGGCTACTGCATATGCTGTAATGGTAGGGCCAGCTAAGTTCAAGAACATGACTCCATAGCCACATTTGTATGACATTGTGAAAAGTGGTGCCAGCATAAGAATGTCCGCATGATATAATCTTGGAGGTTTACAATGGTATAATGATATAATCTTGGAGCATTGTTTTCATAGAGCTCAATGCTGCTGTTTTATACTCTTATCTTTTATTTAATTGTGTTTTTATCTGGATGTTTATATTTCATTGTTTTTTGGTCTTAATTGATTCTTTTGCTTTTGTGTGTTGTGGACATTCTGTCCCATATGTAAGCCGCTCCAAGTCCCTGCAGGGAGATGGTGGCGGGGTATATGAATAAAGTTGTTGTTGTTGTTGTTGTTGTTACACCAATATACGAAATGCCTTGAGTCATACTTGGGGGCCAGGGAAGATGAGGTTGAAATCAAAGAATAAATAAAGTGTTCATTGCAACAATACCAAAATTATTATTAGCGGGGTAGCCAACTTGTGGCCTTTAAGAGGTTCTTAGCCTGCCAATCTCATCACCCTTAGCCAACATAGTTAATGTTGAGGGAGGGTAGGAAATGAACCCCAACCATATCTGAGGGGTCATAATTTGCCCAGTGCATACTACAATGTCCTCAGTGTCACTGAAAGGGAGCATCTCTTGTATAGTGCAGTGCACTGCTTCGTGGCTAGCCCTAAATAGTTACTGTCAGTTACTATAAATTAGTTAATTTGTGCAGGCACTTAGGCACTTTGCGTCAAAAAAGGATGTGTTCTGGGGAATATCTATACTGTTTTTCAGTGTTCCTAATCTCCTATTAGCAGGAATAAGTGGGCAATATATGTTTATTTTAAAGAGATGTTCTAGAAAGTTGTCTTCATTAACCAAACTTTTACTTTCCATTTGTGTAACTCACCTTGTTGTCTTGTAGTTTTGAATGACTTGTTCACATCATAGAGACTACTTTCCTTTATAAGGATTTCTTACTTCGAACTGCAGCCACTAGAGTGCACTAGAAATCCAGCTTTTCTTACCATCTGGAATAAAACCAGGGAATTAGATGGTAATGGAATGATTAAAGTAGCACTGTATTTTCTTCTAAATCCTTTTTTTTTCTTTTTATTACTTCTACTGTACATCACAATTCAAGCCAATTTCATAGTTGCTTTACATTTGGGCTGCAATTTGGCCTTTTCCCTTCTCCACCAGAACTTACCTGGCAATGGAGAGATGGCATTTTCAACAAACTAAGCTGAAGGAGCCCACCATTGCATTAGCAGCAACTTGACATACCAAAAGTCATAATAGAGCCATGCCTCTCTTGGTCAGTTGAATCAATTTGTTAACAAAGGTACATTTTGATGTTTCCCAGGTGGTGCTGTCAAGTAATATTTCAAGAACGGTGGTTATTCAGGCAACACACAATAATTTATATTATACATCCAGCCACCTTGGATAGTTATAAATTAAAATAAAACTTTATTTGTATACCACTCTATCTCCCCAAGGGGACTCAGGGCGGTTTCCAACGTGGAAAGACATTACACTTACATATATATCAAGTATTCATAAAAAAAAATTTTTTTTAAAGCAACATACTGTATAATAGACACACGTATGTAAAAAGCCAATTCCACACTAGATTATATGAGATCTCATCAAGTTTGGGTTTAAACCCTAAAGTGGGTTCACTGCAGCATTGAAATGAAAGCCGCTGGCTGCCGTGGCTTAGAATTTCACCCAATGAACTCCAGTTCATTATAGCACATGGCTATTTTTCCTTTCTCCCTCTGGAAAAACAATTTGAGGGCTTTGGTGTTTCAATTCTATGTTGGCCACCCTGATTGTTCTGAGGAGGCAGATGCTGTTTTAAACCCAGAAACTGACTAATAGCATTGCAGGCGGTAGCTTGGATGTTTATTTTTTATTTTTATTGCTCGCAAGGGATTGCTCTTTGCCAGCAACAAGACTGTATGAGCAGCAAGAGGCTGAAATTCCAGCAAAAGGTCTGTCTGTCTTAGAATGATCTTCTCAGTTAAAGAAAATTTAACAAGACCAGTTTTTCCTGTTTGTTTTGAGGATTGAAACCAATCCTTCTCTGGGACTGACTCTATCTTTAAGGAGACTTTGGGAAGGCATCCTTAGATAGGTTCTTCTTTTGTCAATGGACCTTTTTGAGCTTCTCTGCAATGTTTCCATAGTCTTGGCTGATTGAAGCTTTAGACCACTTATTAATTTCTCTCAATGTTCCTGCACGTGGTTTGAAATCAGTGTGCATCTAGATCAGTGGCTCCCAACTTTTGGTCACCCAGTTGTTTTGGACTTCAACTCTCAGAAATCTCAGCCAGTTTACCAGCTGTTAGAACTGTGGTATCTGATGTCCAAAACACCCAAAGGACCAAGATTGGGAATCACTGTAATAGATTTTGCTGAATTATGTTTCTCATCAGCTCTTCCATACCATAGAACCTAGAGGACCTAGTTGTAGGATCAGGGCTGCTAAGACTCATGGCTCTAGCTGAAGTCTGGAAGAACTGCTATGCTTCCCATGGTCTAAGCAGAAAACAAGTCTTAGGACAAGCTGGAGAAAGACAACATTTGAATTTTCAATGTGAGATTACTTTAAGCCTGGCCACCCATATCTTCCTGTTCCCATTTAGCACTCAGGCTCCCTGGCTCAGCACAAAGGTGTTTGTATGTGTTTTGCTTTTGTGCAGTGCTAGTTTAACAAAAACAAAAACAGGAGCCAGGGAAGAAGATAGAGGAGAAGAGTGTGATACATCTGCCTGGGTTCCTTGTGCCATTTGGAGCAAGGCAGATAGTTGAGTGCCAATGCTTTATTTCAAGAGGGCAGAGGCAGTAGGAACTCTTCAAATAGCTAGCAGTTGATCTTCTGCATAGGATATGGAGAAGCTCCCAACTTGTCATGGTTGCTGCTGTTTGATAATGTCAGGTATCGGTATTGCCTGTCTGCCATGGACTCATAGGTTTAGATGGAGATACTGTATTGAGCAGTTGGTTGGACCCAAGAGCCTATGGCGGCCCCTCTGATTCTGTGACTCCAAAACAGCTTGTGAAATCTTACACTCAATAGACCATGCTCTTCCAAATCCTTTTTTGTATCTGTGTTCCTGAGGCAGAACATTCTTCAAGAGTCCAGATGCAATAGTTTCATCATGTGAGTTCCAGACACCTGTCACAGTACTTTTAATTACTGTGATAATATGTGTGTGTATTAACGCTTTTTCACAAGAGTCAGAATGAGCCAAGTGGCTGAAACAGTTGATACTATGAGTCAAAGAACAATGTTGAAGAGCTAGAGATCAGAGCTGTATATGTCCTGGGACATATCTGCCACCCCCAGGTGCCATGTGTGATTGTGGGTAGCCAATGTTGAAGTGAGATTCAACTGCTTATCTGATTTAATGGTGTTTCACTTTAGACAGCTAAATCTCTCAGACTAGTCCTGCCATTTGACCTTAAATACTCTCGAAATCCATCAGCAGAAGATATTGCTAATTTTATACTTCACAGCAAGTTACAAAAGAAAGTGCCAAGCATCCAGTGTTTGCAGTACAGTTGTAGGCAAATGTTTGTTGTGTTCATATAATCATAGAATCCTAGAGTTGGAAGAGACCTCATGGGCCATCCAGTCCAACCCCCTGCCAAGAAGCAGGAAAATTGCATTCAAAGCACCCCCGACAGATGGCCATCCAGCCTCTGCTTAAAAGTTTCCAAAGAAGGAACCTCTACCACACTCCGGGACAGAGAGTTCCACTGCTGAACAGTTCTCACAGTCAGGAAGTTCTTCCTAATGTTCAGATGGAATCTCCTTTCTTGTAGTGTTGATCTTCTCTTTATTTCTTCCACTGCAGATGTTCTGATCTCCTGGTCCACAATGACCTCCCCACCACGAGCATTATCATGTGTTTTGTGGATGAAGTCTGGTCCACTCTCCTGCGCTCTGTTCACAGTGTCCTCAACCGTTCTCCTCCTCAACTTATTAAAGAGATAATTTTGGTAGATGACTTCAGCACAAAAGGTAGGCTGGTCTTCTTCTTTAAAGTAGGCCCCACAACAAATATGTCTTTTTTACCAATTTTACATTTTGAAAATGTGATAAGATTCACAGCCATCTTGATATGGAAGCCGCTAACCATCCCTGGCTTGTCTGAAGTTGCCATGGTGATTCTATTTGAGAGATAGTTGCATCTTAGTGATTGCAAGATTTAAATTTATTTCTTAAGATTATTAGAAAGAAACATGTTGGGCAATTGGTGTGAGTAGAGAGTTGTGTTTGTTTTGCAAATATCTATCTGTCTCTCTGTCCTTCTAATTTATCAGTGCTTTACTGATTTACCAGCCAGTAGTTGACCAATAGCTGATACGTATGTAATGAGGATAGTATAGCAATGGCAGTACTGAAAATAACTTACAGTACCTACCTACAGTCATAGCCATCAGAAGAAGACAACCTGTTGCTTTTAAAAAATAATTTCCAGTGGTCTATAAACAGTCAAACGTATTAATGACTGAGGGCTTCTAATTCTCTGACACCTTCATTAATGGGCTTTGAAGTAGGCAATCTGATCCATTTACTTCCTTCTCAATTCTGATGCAGAATACCTCAAGGACAAATTAGACAAATACATGGCACAGTTCCCCAAAGTTCGTATCCTTCATCTCAAAGAACGGTACGGGTTGATACGAGCAAGACTGGCGGGCGCAGAGATTGCTAAAGGTAAGCAGATTCATGTCTCATTCTCAAAACGGAGTTGGTCAGTTATTTGCAGCCCATCCTATTATTTTTTAAAGACTACATGTCAGTGGAATATTTAGGGGAAAATGGGTCATCTAACTTGTAATCAGTAAAAGGAAAATAAAACACAGGCTTTGATGTTGCATGTGTCCAGAAAAGAAGTGCTATGGCTATCAAGATTGCTTATTCCCAGTGGATTTGGAGAAAATGCAACCTTAGTTCAGTGAGAATACTGATTAACAGTTAACAGCACACCAGAACAGTCCATGGAGCTGGGTGGGTTACACACAGAGTTTACTGCAAGACTGTTGTATCCAAAGAGAATATGTTCCTGATGGACCCATGATTGCCTGAAAGCATGGATACAACTGAACACTAAACTACATAACTTCCGATCCCAACATACCATAAGTTGCATTGGAGGACCTAGCTATTGCTAGAGAGGTATCCTCACTTGGAATTTGATAAGTCCTACAGTGTACCTCTTTGGTAACCTCTGGGGGAAGCATACCATAGAATGACCTGACAGGCATAGTAAATTCCTAGAGGGTGGATTAGTAAAACCATAAATATGGGCTCCATGTTTGCAGAAGTTTTATTGTTCACCAACTATGCCCCCCACAAAGCATATATTCTGAGAGTGAAGGAAAGATGGTGGTATGCATTCATATGCATACGTGTATAATGCAAAAACATTGTACTCACAACCACAATATACAGGATCCACAACAGCAATGCAAACTATAAGGTCCTACACTTTGCATTGCATTTCACCCTATGCATTTGTTGTTGTTGTTCTTGTTGTTGCTAATATATTACACTAGTCAACACACATTTTAGTACTTCAAATGTTAGACATGTTTCTGGGTATATCTGACCCCCTGATTCCAAAAACGGCACCACTTTCCCTCTATCAGATCTAGTTTCTGAGATATCGAGCATATTCCATATACCACTTCATCAGCTTGCCGATTGAAAATCATGATAACCATATCTAAACTAGAACTGATGTGGTCAATTCAATACAATTTTCTGAATCAGTGCCCCCAAATAAGCCTAGGAACATGCCTAAAAACCAAAATGCCAAGAATTTATTTTGTTGGGCTGTGTCTTATAATACTTTGTTTATTATTAAGAATGTATTGAAATTATTTTAATAATAATACATAAAACATGATGATAATGTAGTGTTATTAATGATATTTATATGTTATCATATATAATTATATGAGGCCACTTGCAAATTCCTGTTAAATTCCCCCAGAGACCTGCTCTCTCAGTACACCAGTGTACTGTATTAATAAATACCTAGTTTTTAATGTCGGTTTGCCCATTTTACAAAAGTTGGATGCAATTCAAATTTGTTATTTCCCTTAAAATATCTTGTAAAGCTTATAGTATCAAGTACAAAAGAGCATAAAATATTTTCAGGAACTCTGCTATTAGTTCTAGGCACCGGTGCCTGCTCATATCCAGTTAAAGCTTATCTCTCCTACATTAGTCCAATTCATGCTGATGAAAGTTCACTCATCAGTAGATACATTTCCCTTATATTAAGGAGAATATCTTATTATTATGTCAGCCTGCTGCAATGTTTGAAAATCTATATTAATGAGATAAGAAACGGCATGACAGTGTTTTCCAACTGAGCTAATGCACACTTTCATGCATATGATTGAAGAAGCTGACACAATTGAGCTACTTTTGAGGTTTTTTACTGCATTAATGTAGTTCAGAGTTACATAGGCATTCCTATGATTTGGCATTAATGTGAGAAAGATTATATAACTATTTTAGATGGCCTCTGGAATATATTTTACTGCTGTGTGTAGGTGGAAAAGCATGTATCATCTGATCAGTTGATATTTTTTGGCATGACTGTGCTTTGTAGTTCTTTGCTGTTTTCTCCATAAAGGCATTATGGTGAATGGCTTAGGCATCACCCCTGTGAACTTCCCTTCTTATAGGTATGACTTTTCCCCTAGATCCCTCCTTACAATAGGATACTGTTGTAAGGAGGGATCTATACTACAGGAAAGGAGATTCCACCTGAACATTAGGAAGAACTTCCTGACGGTGAGAGCTGTTCAGCACTGGAACTCTCTGCTCCGGAGTGTGGTGGAGGCTCCTTCTTTGGAGGCTTTTAAACAGAGGCTGGATGGCCATCTGTGGGGGATACTTTGAATGTGATTTTCTTGCTTCTTGGCAGGGGCTTGGGCTGGATGGCCTACAAGGTCTCTTCCAACTCTGTGATTCTATGATTCTATACTTACATTCTCCATAAGAGCCCATCAAGTAAGGCTTATGGAGCCATTTCAGCTTGCCAGTCTTAATGCAAACAACTTGTTTTTATTTTCTCCTTCAGGGGATGTGCTGACATTCTTAGATTCTCATGTGGAATGCAATGTAGGGTGGCTGGAGCCGTTGTTGGAGAGGATTCACCTAAACAGAAAAAAAGTCCCTTGTCCTGTTATTGAAGTGATCAGTGACAAAGACATGAGGTGATTATGATCTCTTCCATATTTGCCCATTATTGTAGATAGGGGAGAGGTTCTCCATGTGCTCATAGGATATGGGGTCCCAGATGCTGATTCTATATGTACCAGCCTTGTCCCATTGATCTTCCGATATGGAAGAGGAATGTTAGTATAACGAAGAGTGTGAAACTCTGATAAAGCCTATATTCTAACTACACCAAGGCTTTTGCACTTGGTTGAACACACATAGAAACTTCCCTCCAAATTTCTTCCTCAGCATGAGGTGGTGAGCTGTCACAACTTGGAAAAGTTACATTCTGGCTTGAATATTCTTGCAGAAAGGTGACTTTCCCCATGACACAGATTGGTTTATCATGTGTAGGAATAATGTCCAGAAAGACCCACTTGGAACATCTTTCTGTATCAAATACTTTCTCTACTTCAACTCCTTCCGAATGATCACTTGAAAATGCAATTACCATTTAAACATTTCATTGTTACACAATTTTGCAAAGAGATTAAATTTTATTTAATTTTATAAATTATTACAATGCAATAATTTATAATTTTTTACAGATTTATATCTTAATTTATTAATTTGTTTTAAATATTGTACGTATTGTGTGTTATCTGTTCATCTGGTTTATGATACTTTTGTTGAATTTTTCACATTATGTTTACTTTGCTGTTTTAGCCTTGCATGCTGCTTTGAATCCCACCCATGGGAGAAAAGCAGGATAAAAATAAATTAATAATCCATCAGGGGATGACTAGTCCCAAAAGTTAACTGTGTATCCAGTAATCATCTTCCCTGAATATATAATTTGCTGACGGACCTGTGAATAGTATGTTTTTACCCTGTTTCCCCTTGAATATGTGAGGGAGCACAATAGGGGTGCTCCCTCACCCCTATTGTGCTTCAGTATTTATATTTATATTTTTAATGTACTAAACGTACCAAGTTTGTATGAAACTGTGACTTCTCTTTCCTGTGCTGGTCTATGACCAAAATAAATGATTTGATTTTATTTGAAATTAATAATACTAATACTAGTAGTAATGATGAAGATGAATTCATTCCTGTAGCTACATGACTGTGGACAATTTTCAGCGTGGCATTTTTAATTGGCCGATGAATTTTGGGTGGAAACCAATTCCTCCAGATGTGATTGAGAAAAATAAGATCAAAGAAACTGATGTGATTAGGTAAGTATGCAATGTAATATTTTTGTTGAGAGAATCAGCTTCTTATAGACTTATTTATTTATTTATTTAATTGCAATATTTATATTCCTCCATTCTCACCCAAAGGGGACTCAGGGCGGATCACAGAACACATATACTGCAAACATTCAATGCCAAATATACAATAACAAGACAGACAACAGATAGAGGTATTATATAAGTTTTCCCCATCTTTCCAGCATCTTTGGAGGCTGTGCTCAGTTTCGGCCACAGGGAGGAGCTCTCTCTCTATCTCCTTGCCAAAGAGTTTTTTCTTTGTTAGTAAACTTTTCCTCTTTTTTTCTGAATGAAACACCTCCCCGCTTTAATGTGGTGCCTATTTATCTACTCACTTTGCTGTTTTCAATCCGCTAGGTGGTTGGGGAGCTGGGCTGAAGGTCAGGAGCTTGCCTTGACCTGGCTTCAAACTGTCAACCTTTTGGTTGGCAAGGTTTACTGCAGCTACAGCTGGTGATTAACCAGCTAAAGCCGGCCCCCATATCTGAGGTTCTAAGAAGGACCTATATATTCCCTAGGATTACAAAACATATAATATTTACATATACATATTATGTAGAAACCTGTTCTTTCTTAGGTCCAATCAAGTATCACATAATAGACAACTGTAAGAATCTTATTGGAAGATGTTCTTTTCTAGAATGCATCACTATGAACAGGGAGCTACCATATGGGCAAGAACTTTGATCCTAGGTGTATTTGTAACTTAAGCTCTCTATTTCTCATGGTTTTTGGACAGGACACCTTATTGCAGACCTCTCCAGTATAACAAAAATATATTTCAGGATGTATAACAGCTAGAGGCTCTGATGTAAGCATGTGGAACATTGAAATATTCATATGTACTTATTTCTCTTAAGAGTTCTGTAACAGCAACATCTCTGTTTATTAGGTGTCCTGTGATGGCAGGTGGCTTATTTTCTATTGATAAGAAATATTTTTTTGAACTTGGGACATATGATCCTGGACTTGATGTTTGGGGAGGTGAAAACATGGAGATTTCATTCAAGGTATGTTTGCATCTTATAATAGAATTGTTTTGGTTTTAAATATAAAAAACACCTCCCTTCTCATGTTTTGCCCTTGAATGACTCTCAGATGAATGACTAAGCATCAAAATCCAGTTGCAATGAAATAAATTTGTGACGAATCCTGAAAATGTCATGGCTTTTCATTCTTCTTAGTAGAGCTAAATGGTGAAAAATAATTATTTCAGAACAAAACAATTTAATATTTATACTAGGATTATTTGCGTGGATGTTTAAATTTTGTTTAGTCTTATGTTTAATGGTTTTAATTGAGTTTAAGTCATAGTTATATGTAGCAATTAATTATTATGATCTCTTAGTTTTACTGTATGTTGGCATTGAATCTTTGCCATTAATATGTTGTAAACTGCCTTTAATCCCTCCCAGAGATGAGAAAGGCGGTATATAAATACAGAAAATCAATAAATAAACAATTCATTTTATCAAAATACAGCAGGCCTTCCACTTCCATAGAGTTAGGGACCCACCAATAAAATAAATTACACACCCTGTGGATCTTTTATAAGATGTATAAATAACAACATTTTAAAGTCAAGACAGAAGTGTCATTAACAGCTATCCACTTTGTGTTCCTTTGCTGTGAGATGCCTCATCTTACCTGATCTCCTTCCACAGGAAATCATAAGATGTATATATGTCTTTCATTCAAAACTTTCACTGAATGGAGACACAGAGGTTAAGCACTGATTGAACACAAATTGCGTACTGATTCGTATTAAGTTCGAACGTCAAAGCAAATCATGGTTAAGATTATTCCCTGCTATTTTGATTTTTGTTTAAAATTGACAGATTGTGAAATTGTGGCAGATTGAAATCAAAGAGGATGAACTGAAATGAGTTTATGAACCATGTCCTAATTTCAGTGTGATCCTTGGAGCAGTAGTGTTGGGAATTTTAATGTGAGTGTTTCCCAACCTACCAGAGGGATTTTAAGGCCATTGGTCTGTCTCTGGAGGATTCTGCCGCTAGAGACTGACAAGTTGAGCAAATCTAAGATGAAAATAGAGAAGCATCTCTAATCCATGAGTTTCTTGTACATCATGGTTTGAGCTGTAAACAATGCTCATTGCAAACCATGCTCTGACAGGCTTTCTGAATGGATATGGTATTGGGTCTGCTTACATAATTATCATGTATTTATTATTTATTTACAGTATTTATATTCTGCCCTTCTCACCCCACAGGGGACTCAGGGCGGATCACAATGCACATATAACTGGCAAACATTCAATGCCATAGACACGCAACATATATAGACAGGGACATAGAGGCTATGTACCATTCCAGCCTTTCTGGAGAGTATTCTGGCCACCAGGGGAGCTGTCCCTTCACTGACCATTTGTGACACTAATGAAGTACTTCCTCATTCTTTGCATGCTTGCTGGAGATTTTTATGGTCTCATAAATTAGTTACATTTGCCTCCCCGCATAAGCGGTGCCTAAATTTCCTACTTGACAGGTGCAACTGTCTTTCGGGCTGCAAAGATCAACAGCAAGCTACACAAATTGGTCAGAAGCTCACTCCGACCCAGGCTGGCTTCAAACTCATGACCTTTCGGTCAGTAGTGATTTTTATGCAGCTGACTCCCAGCCAGCTTCGCCACAGTCCCAGTGCTCATTAACAAATTAAACTAAATCCATAATTCAGATGTCCCCTGTGGTGATTTATATAACAGAATACATTTCCTAATGTCTGACCTTCTCCCTCTTTTTATCAGGTTTGGATGTGTGGAGGGGAAATTGAAATCATCCCATGTTCCAGGGTGGGCCACATTTTCAGGAGTGACAACCCCTACTCATTTCCTAAGGACCGCCTCACCACAGTGGAGCGGAATTTGGCCCGTGTTGCAGAGGTTTGGCTTGATGATTACAAGGATCTATTCTATGGGCATGGTTACCATCTCGTCCAGAAGAACCTGGATGTTGGGAACTTGACTCAACAGAAAGAACTGAGGAAGCGGCTTCAGTGCAAAAGCTTCAAGTGGTATCTGGAGAATGTCTACCCTGATCTAGAAGCCCCACTTGTTAAAGCTAGTGGCCTGGTATGTTCATTTTACCAACTTTAACATATTCATGATTTTGACACCCAAACGTCTACTCCCTTTGTAACGTGGAATAATTGAGTATCAGATTTTACCTTTGCCTTTTATTTAGCAAAATCTGGAACTGGTCACTTGTCTACAGCTGCCCCAGTACTGTGATTCCAACAATAGCTTCCCAATAGTCTTGCAAGCAGCAAATGTTACAAAAAGATGAACTCTTACAGTTTTCTCTAGTTGTTTTGGAAGGCATACAGCTTCAAAACACTGAGATTTGTTAGGTAGAAGAGTTTGCATGATATAGCTGAAGTTAAACCACTTCAGAGGAGCTTTGGATAGGTGAAACTAAGGGCTCTGAATAAAATCCCACATTATCTACTTTGAACTGGAATATATGGCAGTGTGGACTCAGATAGCCCAGTTCAAAACAGATATTGTGGGATTTTCTGCCCTGCTATTCTGGGTTATATGACTGTGTGGAAGGGCCCCAAAGAAAAACCTGTGATTTGTGGCATCCCTATTTTTTGAAAACATTAGCCCACCTCTAATGAGTCCACAGAGGTAGCATTTGCTATTGCAGGCTTGCTTTCCATGCAACGTGGATGCTATGGAAACAGAGAGTGATAGATACATTTGATTCTTCTTTAGATATATCTTCCTTAGGTTTTTTTCGCCTTTCTTTCCAGCATTCTCAAACTTTCTCCTGCTCACCGCCAAATATTTATTTGTCATAGTAGTAACTGAATGCTTGACACTTTCTGGTTTCAAAGGAATCAACTATAAACAGTATGTTTGCAACAGTGACAAGTATACCAGCTTCTAAAGAGTTTAATCTGAAGAGATTACTGTTAGATATGACAGCTGAATAGAAATGTTGTGTTCAGGGATAATGTATCTGTAAAATCCAGATGTTGGTGGATGGTTTTTTTTTCCTGCTCAGTGCTTTGGAAAATGTACTTTTTGAACCGATTCTGAGAGTAGGATTCCACAAAATGTATGCACTCATGTATATACATGAGTATATACTTATGTATAAGTCAACCTAATATATAAGTCAAGGTGCCAAAATTATGGATTCTGATTAGATCCATGGATAAGTCGAAGGTCATTCTGCAGGGAAGGGAAACATTAATGTAGACCCAGGGCCAACTGCCGTAAGGCACTACTGCCATTTCCTCTGGACAGACATTACAAAGGCCAGAAGCTACACCATGGTGGAGAGAGGATAGTGGCTTGGTGCTCCTTATGGGGTTTTCCAGAATCAACTAAACTCTTGTCTTTTGCCACCATCTTGACTACTGTTTGTGAATACAGATCTATAACTTTAAGCTATGCACCCATAACTATAATACTGTATTCCAGCCCAATTTCTTCAGTTTTTCCTCCTTAAATCCCAAACACTTTTCTAGTTTACTTAAAGCAGTGAGCCTGACTTCCTTTAGGGATCCATACTTCTAAGTATGACCACTAGAGGGCAATGGAAATCCATTTTCCCTTTTTTGGAATATAACTGCAATTTGTCTCTTATTCCAAAAATCAAATGAATGATGAGATGCATCCTAGTGAACTTTCTGCAACAACTTTATTTTAAAAGTGTAGCTAATAGTGTGGAAAGAAAATACTTATAAATCTTGTACTGCAAGAATTTGCCTACCCCAATTTTTCTAATATTTGATAGCTTTAGTATACTCAGGAATTCAACTTTTGTCTCTTTTGTAGGAAGTCTGTACTTTTTTTTAGCATTTTCTTATTACAGAGGTCGAAATCCCACCTCTGAAATTGACCAGCAGTGAGCAGGATGTTAGTTCTGGCTCTGGAAAATAGCAATGGTTAGAGATAATGCCAGTTACAGATTGTTTATTGAATAACTACATTCAATTAGGATGGGCTGTTGTAGAAGGTGCAGGGCAGAGTTCCTTTACTTCCTGGGCAAAAATAAGGCACTAAAACTCCTTCATCTGGTGGCACAATGGGTTAAACTCTTGTGCCGGTAGGACTGCTGACCCAAAGGTTGGCAGTGCGAATCCAGGAAGCAGAGTGAGCTCCCATCTGTCAGCTCCAGCTTCCCATGCAGGGACATGAGGGAAGCCTCCCACAGGGTGGTAAAACATCTGGGAGTCCCCTGGGCAACGTCCTTGCAGACAGCCAGTTCTCTCACACCAGAAGTGACTTACAGTTTCTCAAGTCGCTCCTGACATCTATATATATAAATCTGTTAGGTTGGTTCAACGGGACAGCAAAACTCTAAAAAAAACCAACGAAACTTAACCAAAATCCCCATGCCCATAACACAACCCACAAGGTACAAACATATCTACTCAAAATGAAAAACAACACAACAACACACTCACAAAACGGCAAAACAACAAAACTCAAAAAAACCCAACGAAACTTAACCAAAATTCCCATGCCCATAACACAATCCCACAAGGTACAAACATATCTACTCAAAATGAAAAACAACACAACAACACACTCACAAAACGGCAAAACAACAAAACTCAAAAACCCCACGAAACTTAACCAAAATTCCCATGCCCATAACACAACCCACAAGGTACAAACATATCTACTCAAAATGAAAAACAACACAACAACACACTCACAAAACGGCAAAACAACAACTCAAAAAACCCCAACGAAACTTAACCAAAATTCCCATGCCCATAACACAACCCACAAGGTACAAACATATCTACTCAAAATGAAAAACAACACAACAACACACTCACAAAACGGCAAAACAACTGAGCATGCGCATTGGCGCCCAGCCGCAAGTTCCCTGGCGCGCACACAGCCTTCCGGCCAATGTTCCCTCTGCGGAAGCCATGCCCACTCCAAGCCCCGCCGCAGCGCTTCCCGCACATACACACACCCTGCTCCATCACTCCCCCTGCCGTCGCACACACACACGCAACCCCACGCTCCATCACTCCCCACGCTCCATCACCCCCGCCGCCGCACACACACAGCAACCCCACGCTCCATCACTCCCCCTGCCGCCGCACACACACACGCAACCCACGCTCCATCACTCCCCCCGCCGCCGCACACACACACGCAACCCCACGCTCCATCACTCCCCCCGCCGCCGCACACACACACACACAACCCCACGCTCCATCACTCCCCCGCCCCAATCTTACCTCCTTTTACTTCACGCCACCTCCAAACCCCACCCCGCCCCTTCCCGCCCTGTCAAAATCCAGGAAAGACGGGAAGGAAGGAAAGAAGGAAGAAAGAGAAAGGGAGGTAAAGAAAAAGGGGGAAGGAAGGAAAGTTAGAGAAAGAAGGAAGAAGAAAAGGAAAGAAAAGGAAAGATGGAAGGAGAGAAAGGGGAGACAGCAGAAGAGAAAGAAAAAGGGGGAAGGAAGAAAGAGGTAGAGAAGGAAGAAATGAGAGACAGAGGGAGGGAAAGAAAAAGGGGGAAGGAAGGAAGGAGAGAAGTAAAGAAAAAAGGGAATGAAGGAAGGAAAGAGGGAGTGAAGGAAGGGGGAAGATGTAGAGAAAGAGGGAGGGAAGGAAAGAAGGGAAGAGAGAAGGAAGAAAAGAGACCAGAAGAGAAAGAAAAAGGGGGAAGGAAGGAAAGAGATAGAGAAGGAAGAGGAGAAGGAAAGATGGGAGGGAAGGAAGGAAGGAAGGAAGGAAGGAGGAGGGAGGGAAAGAAGGAGAGAAAGAGGGAAGGTTGGCCACAGCAACGCGTGGCGGGTAAAGGTTGTTATTTCTATTATTATTATGCTATTATTCCTATGAGACCCTGGGGGAATGGGAGAGGTGTCAGGTCCCAGAGGCAATGCATTGCATTATTGTTATTGTTATGATGGTGGTGAAATAAAAGGAAATAAAAAGAGAAAGAAGGAAGCAAACAGGGAGGGAAGAAAGGCAAAGGAAGAAAGGGGGAGGGAATGAAGGAAAGAGAGAAGGATGAAACCAAGTAGTGAAAGGAAGAAAAAAAGAGGTAGAGAAGGAAGAAAGGAGAGAAAGGGGGAGGAAAAGGGGGAAGGAATAGGTAGGTACCTCTCTTTCATAATAGTCCAGATATCTACCTCAACTTTGATAAGTTTTACTGTAGGCCACAGCAACGCGTGGCAGGGCACAGCTAGTTATATAAATAAAAATGTAATGTTTGTTTGTGGGATTAACATAACTCAAAAACTACTGGACGAATTGACACCAAATTTGGACACAATACACCGATAAGGCCAATGAGTGACCATCACTCATAAAAACACTGAAAAACACAACAGAAGAGACTTAAAAATCCAAAAAACAAAAATCACATTACAATGCATGTGCAAAACCACATATATATACACACAAATATATACACACAAAAAACACATATACACAGACTGGGCCACAGCAAGGCATGGCAGGGGACTGCTAGTTAATAATAATAACCTTCATCATCTTTATTTGTGCCCCCATCACCATCTTCCCAAAGGGACTCGGGGTGGCTCAGAGAAGCACTCTGAGTGCCACATGCAGACAACAATACATAAGTATAAATACAATGACATAAGTATAATCAACAGTGCATAAAAATCTCATTAATAAAATTATAGAAATTTGAAAATTATAAAATTCCTAAAATGCAGTGGATACTGCCAGCAAGTTACCTGTCATAACAATCAATCAAACTGTCGGCCAGTACTATCAATGATTCATCACACTGGCCATGGATTACTCAGGATCAAAGGCCTGTCTGAAGAACCATGTTTTCAGACTCACCCAGAAGGCCTGAAGAGGAGGCTAATCTAATTTCCTTAAGGAATTCCAGAGCAGGGGAGCACCCACCGAGAAGGCCCTCTCTCTCGTCCCCACCAACTGTTCTTGAGACAATAGTGGAACTGAGAGGAGAGCCTCCCCTCACAGCTCACGCCAGTTTGTAGAAGGAGATGTGGTCAAGGAAGATAGGTTGGACCCGAAGCATATAGGGCTTTATAGGTAATCACCTGCAGTTTGAATTAGGCTCAGAAACTTATTGGAAGCCAGTGGAGCTGCTTTAAAAGGTGTGTGTAGGGGAGTAGTATTCTCCCTAAAGCTCATCCCAATTAATAATCTGGCTGCCGCTCTTTGCATTTGCTGCAGTTTCCGAGTCATTTTCAAAGGCAGCCCCATGTAGAGTACATTACAATAATCCATTCTGGATGTAACTAAAACATTACAAAATATCCCAGTTGCTTAATATACAAGGGCACTCTTGCATCTGGCCATCCTATGAACAAAGTATCGGCCTCCTCAAGTTATGTGCCGCCAGCCAGAAGATGAAGATTACTGGAAATATATTTTGCCAGGCTCAAGATCTCCTTGACAGCCCATTTAGCATATGACTGGGAAAATGCAATATGCAGTCACTTAGCCAGTCATCTCCCAAATCCATTAACAAACAGAGATCTGATGACAGCAGGAGGGCTTAGCCACGTATTTCTATTTATTTTTTTGACCTTTGCTTTAACAAATTACAGCTCACATCATTAACCCAGAAGAGTTTGTTTAAAATGGGAAATTCGTCTTGGTTAGGCAAGCTAATTTTAAGATGGAAGATTGCTGTTGTGATGGGTTGGGCAACCAAATTGACGGCAGAAGGTCAGCTGTGGAGAATTGCAATCTTACCTGTTCCCTACTTAGGTGGGAGCACAAATACAGATAACGTCCCCCCTACTTCATGTGTAAAAGTAATCACAATATTTAAAGTAAAAGGAAAGTTTGCACAATCCATTTTAGGGCTTTTAATAAACTCAAGATCTTTTGCTGATTAATGATAGCCTGTCACCTAAGCTTTTTTATGAGTTGCTAGTTTTGGATAACAAGGTAAAGGTAAAGGTTTCCTCTGAATTTAAGTCTAGTTGTGTCCACCTCTGGGGGGTGGTGTTCATATACATTTCCAAGTCGAAGAGCCAGCATTGTCCATAGACACTTCTTAGGTCATGTGGCCAGCATAATTGCATGGAGTGCCGTTATCTGGTATCTATTGATCTACTCACACTTGCATGTTTTCGAACTGCTAGGTTAGCTAGGGCTAACAGTGGGAGCTCACCCCATTCGCTGGATTCGAACTGCAAACCTTTCAGTGAGCAAGTTCAGCAACTTAGTGGTTAAACCCACTGCGCCACCGGGGGGCCCCAGATAACAACAAAAGTCTAAAGTAAACAACAATTTTGACTATGACTTTAGGCATATACAGCCAACCCTTTGCATTTGCTGGGATTAAAAGAACAGGATCACTGCAAAAGTGGAAAAATGGATTAAATAATGCTATTTTTAAAAAATGTGAAAGAACACCTCTCTAAGAATCTCTAACTCTTCCAGTTTGACTTTGTGGTCAACTTCTCTGGAATCATGGAAATCAAGGTCTTTAGCCTTCTCTGCCAAAGAATGCTAAAGCTTCAACAAAAGTATAGTTCCAACAATTCCATAGCATTGAGCTATGGCAGTTTAAAATTGTGCCAAACTGCATTAATTTTACAGTGTAGATGCATCCCTATCTGCTGGACTTGGGGACTGGGAAACGGTCTAAAATCTGCATAGGGCCACAGGAGAAGAGGTGGCAATACTCCCAAGTGCACTTTCAAGGGATATAAAGGGGCAATGTAAAGGAGAAATGTCATTCCCAAATGAATAGCTTATAATTCACACACATAGGCTTCAGTCCTAAGTTTTTTGATTGGGAGCCCCCGGTGGCACAATGGGTTAAACCTCTTGTGCCAGCAGGACTGAAGACCGACAGGTCAGAGGTTTGAATCTGGGGAGAGTACAGATAAGCTCCCTCTGTCAACTCTAGCTACTTATGCGAGGACATGAGAGAAGCCTCCCACAAGGATGGTAAAACATCAGAACATCCAGTTGTCCTCTGGGCAACGTCCTTGCAGATGGCCAATTCTCTCACACCAGAAGCGACTTGCAGTTTCTCAAGTGGCTCCTGACATTAATATATTTATTTATTTATTTATTTATTTACTTTACTTGTATACCGCAGTTTCTCAGCCCAACAGGCGACTCAACGCGGTTTACAACAAGGGTAAAAAATCAGTTACAATTTAAAATCATTAAAAGCATAGTATACACAATAATAATACATCAATAACAGCCCCATAACATCTCGTAACTAGAATCGTAATCCAATCCATCATCCATAATTCCTGTATTCATCATATTCATTGCGCTGTTTATCCGAATGCCCGTTCAAAGAGCCAAGTTTTTAATTTTCTTCGAAACACCATTAGCGAAGGGGCTGATCTAACCTCCGTAGGAAGGGCGTTCCACAGCTGAGGGGCCACCACAGAGAAGGCCCTGTCCCTCGTCCCCGCCAGCCGCACCTGTGAAGCTGGCGGGATAGAGGGCAGGGCCTCCCCAGAAGATCTTAGAGTCCTGGTGGGCTCATAGGCAGAGATACATTCGGATTGGTAGCTTGGGCCAGAACCGTTTAGGGCTTTATAGGCCAGCGCCAGCACTTTGAATTGAGCCCGGTAGCAAATCGGCAGCCAGTGGAGCTGGTGCAGCAGAGGAGTTGTATGCTCCCTGCGCTCCGCTCCTGTTAGTATCATGGCTGCCGCGCGTTGGACTAGTTGGAGCTTCCGAGCCGTCTTCAATATACTGTATATATAAAATAGGGTCCCCCCACAATAATGGATCTTCTTCTGATCATTTGAACTTAGGATTCAGGCTCCTTCATCTTTCTGATGGTATCTTTCCTGTCCTGGCAAAAGGAAGCAGGCAGAGGTTTAAGCATTATGATAGCCAGCCACTACTCCAGAGCAGGTAACTTGTGGCCCTATAGATTATGACTTCAAATCCAATCTGCTCCGGACAGCAGGAGGGATGATGAGAACCATAGTACAATAATGCCTGGTGGACCACAAGTTGCCCACTGTGATCTAGAGAAAATTCAAATTCTCCTACTTTTTGTTATGGCCCCATAGTTGTCCCGTAGAAACAACATTAATCAGTAATTTTAAAAATATATAAAGAAATGTTTGTTGCTATATCACATCAGTTATGTTTTAAGCCATTGTACGCCTTAGCAATGGGTTTTTGTGCCCACTTAGAAACCACTTTTCTAAACCTTTGTTTCAATTGTTTATTTGTTTTAGATTATCAATATAGCCTTGGCTAAATGCATAACCGTGAATCAGTCTAGCCTGGTTTTTGAAACGTGTGATGTTAACAACAAGGTAAGATTTTGCTAGCATTTCTTTTGCACTCTACTTGCTAGGATTGTTCAAATAGATGTCTTAAAATATCTGTTTGCAGAGCCAATGCTTTGGGGGGGGGGGTGGAGTGGGTACGTTTTACATGTTGCCTCTCCCCCCCCCCCCCATCTCTTTTAGGATCCTGAGGGTGGTTCATACCACAGAGCACAGGAAAGGGCAACAATAGGTCACTGCCATAGACTAGGGGTGGATGAGTGAATGGTATTGGACCATCCCAACACACTACCGTCTGCCTCTGAATTTATCACAGTATAGTAGCAGCAAAAGCTCCACTTTTTTAAACATGCAGACAAGTATGTGGTGGCACCTGTCTTGTTTAAAGAAGATGCATACTCCTAAGGGAACTAGGAAAAGTAGTCGTTTAAAAATGAAATATGTGTCCACATACATGAGTGATATGTGTCTACAAAAAGTAGAACCACTACAAGGAGCGATTGGTGATCCATCTTACAATGACATGCTAACTGTTGGCATTTGATCATGTCTCATCTTGGAGACAAAGTAGTGTTAGAATATACCACATATACTCGAGTATAAGCCAACCCGAATATAAGCCGAGGCACCTAATTTTACCACAAAAGATGGGAAAACATATTTACTTGAGTATAAGTCGAGGGTGGGAAATGCAGCAGCTACTGGTAATTTTTTTTAAAAAAATAGATACTAATAAAATTACATTAATTGAGACATCAGTAGGTGAAATGTTTTTTAATATTTACATAAAACTGTAATCTAAGGTAATGCTGTCCTGTCCAACTCTGATTAAACCATTATTGTAACCTTGTTCAATGTAAATGTGCTTACATATCCTTCCCATAATAATGGAGTAAAATAATAAATGTAATAATAATAGAGTAAAGTAATAAATGTAATAATAACAATAATAAATAGAGTAAAATGATAAATGTAATAATAAATAGAGTAAAATAATAAATGTAATAATAATAATAATAATAATAATAATAACCCAGTAAAAATAATAAATAACTTTGATTCAAGTGTAAGCCAAGGGGGGCTTTTTCAGCCTTAAAAAAGGGCTGAAAAACTCAGCTTATACTCTAGTATATACGGTAAATGGGAGACCGCCAATGAAGGAGAAAGCCAATGAATAACTAGAGGTGGTTATGTCAATTCCCTCATGAGATCAACATAAGTCAATAGGTGCCTTGCAAGGCACAGACATGTATAATCTGCAGGCTGGAGCACCCAACCCTTCTGCCACCTGCAGCTTTCAGAACCCATAAAATGACTCACATCCCAATAGTGGTCACTTGACTCTAGTTACCAGAGCCCAACACTGAATGTACTTCTTCAGAGCCCCTTGCCACTCACTTTGTATTTGCATTTTCCAGTGTCATATTTTAATAACCCAAACAATACAGAATATTAATTATCGGACAGAAGCTGGCATTCTTCTCAGATTGTTATGCTTATGAGCAGGAAAAGACTGGTAACTGTCCAGTCAAGATGTGACAGTAGTATTTTAAAGTAGATATTGTTGCATTGCTTGCATGCATAGAATCCCTGGTCTCTGTCACACTGCAAAATGATAGCACTTTGGTATAACTAAAGGCCGTGGCTGCATCTCATGAAAGAGTGGGATCTGTAGTTTGGTGTAATCCTTAGAATTCTCTCCTGCAAGGCAGCTCTTACTAAAATTGATATCTCAAGATACTGTGGGATGCAGTAATAGCAATTCAACTGGATTATTCATAATGCTAAAACTGTGTAGTGGCAAAAAGACTCCTGTGTATAATGCTCACTAGATATCTTGCTTTGCTTGTTTCAGTAAATGTTTGATTCATATCTATAATTTGATTAATCATTGTTGGAGTTTTCCAATTTCTGCATGGCTGCTGCTGTGAGCAAAGAAAAAAAATCCCTGTTGACGGTATTGTGAGATGCAGGGGTGGGGAACCATAAGTCCTGGCTCTAACTCCTGCCCTCCTGATATACCAGTCATGTGCTCTGGGCTTCCCCAGGTGACCCATGACAACGTCACTTGGTAGTTTCCCTTCTTTGGGGCAGGTATTTTCCCCATTCTAAAAAATTGTCATGCCACTCCTGAAAGCTAAGTTACTGACTGTAAGAGCTTTAAGCAAAAACAGGACTGTGGGCTTTTTTGGTTCCAACTATTTTCCTTTGGCCCCTTCCACCAAGAAAATACAAGCTCCAGTATCTTTGAAATCCAACCTGGTTCCTGGGGTCCTTTCTATAAGAGAAATACAGATAGGATTTGCTAGAATGTTATAATCTTGTAAACATATAAACCTTACTACACAAATACAGGTGTTTCTTTTTCTATATTTCAAGTTTCAACAACTTTCCACTTCTTCCTAAAGCCTCATATAGTCTTTCTCCCTTTCATACACCTGAAAGTCATCTTCTAAATGTCAGTTTCCAAAGCAGGCACTGAAAATGGTAGCATTGTTAAAATTTTGATGGATCTCCTCCAAGGATTTTGGACTGTCTTCAGTCAGTTATAAACATGCACTTTATCTGTGTCACTTCACATTGGTTTAGCTTAAAAATGGAGCAAGATTGTTTACAATAGCAGTTAGTTAGAACAATGATTCTAATAACTGAGCAAAACTGAGGGCTGGAAATAAGCACTTTTCTTTAGACTCTAGCTCCAAAAATCACATAGCCACCTGGCTGGCTAAAACAAATAAACAAACAAAAAACTCAAAGGGAAACTTTCCATCTTCTGGAAATCAGTATCCCAAAATGGTCCAGTTTGCACCCGAAAATCCTAGAGAAGAATCTCTGCAGCTTCATCTACTTCTAAGCAAGTTGGTAGGAAGACTCGTGTCTGGAGTGTATCTTATAAAATAACAGAAAGAAAAATGATGAGGACTGTGAATGTCTTAGCGTTGATACAAACCAGAATTCACTAAGCTTGCAGAGGGCTACTGAAAATATCACTGAATCAGATTTTTTAGGGTTCATAGGCTAAACAGTCAGTAACTGTGATTGCCATTGGTTGCACGTGGATTCAGGGTTTTTGTGTGTGTCAGGAGCGACTTGGGAAACTGCAGTCTGCAAGTTTGGCAGTCTGCAAGGATGTTGCTCAGGGGACGCCCGGATGTTTTACCATCCTGTGGGAGGCTTCTCTCATGTCCCCGCATGAGAAGCTGGAGCTGACAGGCGGGAGCTAAACCTGCTGTCCGGATTCGAACGGACTGTGTGATGTATCGGCAAATAATGCATGCAGATCCCAGTAAGGTGGCCTTTTGCAGCTAGCAGATGGTAATCTTGTCAGCGCCGATTGTGTTTAAGTGCAGGCCAAATGTGCCAATCGCCACTGGGACCACCTTGACTGGTTTGTGCCAGAGTCTTTGCAGTTCGATCTTTAAGTCCTCATATCGTGTCAGCTTTTCCAGTTGTTTCTCTTCAATCCTGCTGTCACCTGGGATTACAAGATTGACAATCCATACTTTGTTTTTTAACACGATTGTGAGGTCAGGAGTATTGTGCTCCAAAACTCTCTCAGTCTGAATTCGGAAGTCCCAGAGTAGTTTGACGTGTTCATTTTCTGTAACTTTTTCAGGGTTGTGATCCCACCAGTTCTTTGTCGCAGGTAGATGGTATTTGTGGCACAAGTTGTTGTTGTTATTATTATTATTATTATTATTATTATTATTATTATTAATGTACATTACCAGCAAAATAGCACTCTTAGACTGTAATTCTATTCCATATAACATTGGCATAAATTCCATGGAATTCAACAGAGCTTCTACATAGATGTGTCTTGCCATGTTCTTTGAGGTGGGGAATTAAATGTGATTGTAGCAATCGTAGTGGAGTGTAACAAGTTCTTTCCTACCTGCAGGACCAAAAATTCAACTACACTTGGATGCGACTGATCCAGCATGGAGACTCCTGTGTGGCACCAACGGATGCCAAAGGGACACTGGGCCTGCACCCTTGTGATAAAAGAAACAAAAGCCTGAAATGGTTGCATAAATCACTTGTGGCTTTTCAGCCAGAACTCGTAAGTGCAGCATTTTCAAATGCTTTCTTTTGCCCCTTACTGAGACTATACTGGAAATGGTACAAAACAAAAGGAGCCTTCTACTTCATTTCCATTTTATCGCAATACCAGGCACTCCATATTGATGGAAAGAAAAGGTCTCTGCATGCAATACTTTTTGCTACATTTTATGGGTTGAGTGTAACTGTGAACATCTATTTTATTTTTTGTTTATTTTGTGTCTCCTCCAAAGAGTTGAGGATGGGGTGTTTGATCTTCATCCTAACAACAAAACCGTTAGGAATCCTTCGATCTCATCTTGGGAGAAAAGTGGGATGTAAATTCAATAAACAAACAAACAAACACTAGGTTGATGTGAGTTTTCCAGGCTGTATGGCCATGTTCCAGAAGCATTCTCTCCTGACATTTTGACCACATCTATGGCAGCCATCCTCAGAGGTTATGAGGTATATTGAAACTAGACAAGGGAGGTTTATATATCTGTTGAGGATGCCTGCCATAGATGTGGGCAAAACGTCAGGAGAGAATGCTTCTGCAACATAGCCATACAGCCCAGAAAACTCACAGCAACCCAGTGATTCTGGCCTTGAAAGCCTTTGACAACACATTAAACCAACACAAGGCTGAGAGATATGTTCCAAGGTCACTTTGTGACCTTTAAGGCTCCACAGAGATTTGAGTTGAAGTCTTAGTGTGAGACTCCAATCACTCTATTACATTTGTCCTCAAATAACAAGCAAAAGTAGCTCTGGAGTACTGTCCTGGAAGAAGATGGCTGGGGAGATTTTAGAGATGCTTTTAGCAAATATATTTCCAGTAAGATGCTTGTGATAGAAAATTGATTTATAGAATTCTCCTATATTCTTTGCCTGGGAATGAAAGAGACCGAATTTCTTAACTTTCTCCACCCACAATGAGACAATTGTTGTGGTGTCGCCTTCAAGTCATTCCCTACTGATGGCAATCTTAAGGTAAACCTATTGCAATTTTTCTTGGCAAAATTTGTTCAAAGGGGGGTTGCCTTCCTTAGAGGCTGAGAAAGTGTGACTTGCCTAAGGTCACCCAATGGCTTTTAAAAAAATGACCAGGTTTTTCCGCTGGTTTTTATTATTTTCTCTTATAAGGTTGAAGTTTTGCCTTAAAGAGTATTGTTAAGTTTCTCAAAGATCTTTCTGGAAGGCTGTCCATCAAATATTTGTAACACTGCTGTAATGAAAACTAGTTTTTTCTAAACTGTTTAACTCAAGAAAGTCCATGCAATGACTAATATTAGAAGGATAAGTATAATGACTATATACTGGTATTAGAAAACAGTCATTTCCAGTCTTCTGATTAAAAAAAATACTATCAGTGCCAGAGGCAAATTTTAGAAAGCATTTTCTCTCCCTGAAAGAATGTGTGTGTGTTTTTAGCAGAGCCTTTCAGTGTAAGATGAGAATAGTTGCAGTGGAAGTAATTGCACCAGTTGATAATCTTGTACGAAATCCTGATACTGTGACTCCTTTCATTTGTTCTTTCTTTTTACGAATCTTGGCACAAAACCTCCTAAAAATGAAAATGCTCCTTTTTGAGGCTAGGAGGGTTCGTGAAAGCATATGAAAAACGATTGGCCATTTAGGTTCCCCGATAGCATGTCAGGTTCTATTGATGTTCTTTGATGGACTGCTGAACTTTGGGTCTTAAAACAGATTGGTCCCTGCCACAATAAAGAAAGTTGTGTTTCCTTTTTTTTTCTTCACAAAACCATAATACCCAGTTCAGCAAAATTGGACATAGATGATTGCACCTGTACGAGATTGAGCTAGTGGCAAGCTTGAGCTATACAATTTGGTCCATGGAGGTAAGAGATCAGATTAGTTTTTATGAAAGCTTCAAATGCTGCAGGAAAAGAGCACTGGCCCTGTGGGAGAAAGGCAGCCTAAAGTTATCACTGTCATGTGAAACCAAATGATGGATTCATTTTCTACAAAAGTAATGTCTGTCCTTTGCCGGCCTTCCTTCTATTCACATTATTGGAGATGAAGAAAAATAAACCACACTGCTGACTGTTCTTTAGGGAAACCAGGAAGCAAAATTTACATTAGACCCATTTTGTGTTTCATTAATAATTTTATTTTTATTCCTTTCAATAGACCATAAAACTGACAATGAAAGTGTAAAACTCAAACTGAAATAAAGTATAAGTATTAAATTTATACTATAGCAGAGGAAGATATAGCAGAAATAGCGTACATATAAAAAAAAGTATTATAGAATGGACACAGAACAACCTGATTTCACCAGACAGCCCTAAAACACGGGACAGGGAACTCAGTTTTGAAAATGCAGTTCCTGAGAGGCAGTCCAGACAGGGAGAGCTGAATCCAGTATATCCTCCCCCACTGTCCTCACAGCTGTCTTTTGATCCAGATTAAGATGAAGGGCAAACATCCAGCAGAAGTTTTTAAAATTCACTCCAGAGATGTGCACATGCAATTCAGCCTATAACTTACCTCGCATCTCTTTCTTCCCCCGATTCTTCAGTCTCTTTAAGATTACAAAGTGTAAAAGACAGAATTTGAATTTCCTTTTCCCTTCTGCTTCCCGAACCATGTGTTTCAACTGTTTTGGGCTTGACAGACATGCACATGCTTAGGAAGATTCCAGACAGCGGGGAGAGAAGGAAAGCACGTGTTTTTCATGTCTACAGGGATATGTAGGCATAGAAAGATGTGCTTTTAAGGAGAAACTGGGTTTAAAGAGCACCTTTTGGACACATGTTTTCCAGCCCTTAATCCGATTCCTCCTAATTCTTCCCACATTTTGGCTAAATGTCATTTAGCCACCACTCCCTTAACCCGATTTAACCCGAGTTATAATGCATGTGTAGAAGGATCTTAGGAACTTAGTTTTGATAGCTGCAGCAAGAAACTTAACATGTTCAATAACCATTTAATTACTATAACCCATTAATGCAGACATATAGAGTTCAGCGCTCCCTGCATATGAACAAAGCAAATGAAAATAACATAATTTTTATAATAGAGATAAATATTTATTTATTTTATTTATTTACAGCATTTCTATTCCACCCTTCTCACCCTGAAGGGGACTCAGGGCAGATCACAGAACACATACTCGACAAACATTCAGTGTTGTTAGATAGACAGGACAGATAGCAGATAGAGTTATTTTTCCCCAACTTCGGTGTCCTGGAGGTTGTGCTCGATTCTGACCACAGGAGATGCTGTCGCTCCATCCTCTATGACGAAGAGTCCTTGATCACAGATCACAAATTTCCTCCATTCTTTTGATCACCGGCATTTTCTAGTACTTCCTTTTCATGGTGCCATAAAATACCTCCCTGCTTAAGCGGTGCCTAATTTCTCTACTAACAACTCACAGTTGTTTTCGAACTGCTTAGGGGGACAGTGAGCTGGGCTGAAGGTTGGGTGCTCACCCCGACCCGGGCTTCAAATTGCCAACCTTCTGATTGGTGTGATCTTATTGCTGCTGGTGATTAATTACCCAGCATATGGTATTCTATTGCCATTTCTTCCATTTGAGCAATCTCTAGAAATTCAGAGAAATCAGCTTTCAACAACTGTTAGTAGCAAAGAATTGAGCTTGGCCTTCTGTTATTTGGCAATGTTTAAACGTAATGGGCTACAGAGGGTTTTTTTACATATTCCAATTTGGCAATGAATGTTGGGGTGTGTGTGTGTGTTTGGGGGCCAAGACTTGAGCTTCAGGTAGCACAGATGCCTCTCAAGCCACAACTGTTCTGCAGGTAAGCAGCTGAAACTATTGCTCACAATGAGGACTCCTGGGTATGCAGTCACATAGAGCAAAACTTCTTAAACTTGGGAGTCACAACCCCAAATGGGATTGCATAAGTAAATAGTTGGGGCCATGAAAAATTTGGCCAGAAGACTGGAGGAATCGCAGCATCAACTACAGCTGCCTATAACCCACACACACCAAAGGCTGTTTTCCGGTCTTTCCTTCAGAGGAAGAGACTGACTAACCAACCTGTCCACACTTCCCACAGCCATCTGTTGCACAGGGTAGAAAGGAGAAATATTTTACATACCTGTATACCTAGGGTTATATACAAATTTCTTGGGCAACAAGGGATCGTGACTGAAAAAAGTTCAAAAAGCCCTGGCAAAGAGTACCTTTATGCATCCAGTCTTGTCCACATCAGTGTTTTTTCCAGACATTCCACATGAATGTAGATCTCACAAGAGGAACCATGAATGCTGGAACACAGCCACAAAACAGAAACCCACACAATCACTTACGTGCATGTGGAAATACAGGCAAGGGACATTCATTCTTGCCTATACAATACACCAAGCACAAACTCCAGTGAAATGAATGAAGGTCACCGACATATAAGTATTTCATGCTGCCTGAAGTAATTGAATGTGGGCTTGAATATGACAGCTTCTCATTCTGTTGTACTTCATTGCTTCAGAAAAGACTGCCTCCACTCATCAGGCAGAGCTCTATTTAGGTTTTGTGTGGCAACAAAGATTCACTGCAGCTTTGATGCGCATGTTTGTTGTGAACCATGCAACTCTCCAGCTTGAACAATGAGTCTTTGGTGGGCAATATTTGGCCTGTGAAATAGAGAGGAAATTTAATTTATCCCTTTGGAAATCAGCTTAAATCAAAGTATTTCCTCTTCACTAGTTTGTGTATCACTCCCTGATTGTCCAGGTTTCTTTCCAAAAAAGATAAATAGTGACTTTGGGGTAAGACCAAAACAGATTAACAAAATATGTCTAGAAAAGCAGGTCGATAGTTGCACAGATAATTATATGGGTGCAGAATCTGTGCATGCCTTTGTGGTGCGCCAGGTACGTACTACAATCCTATATATACTATTTACATCCTCTACAAATACGATTATTTAATAACATTTCCATGGATTACATGCCAACACCCATCAGCACCTTCTGTCACGGCCAATGGTCAAGGATAATGAAAATTATAATCTAGTCATATCCAAAGGT